AAATAAGCTTCAATCAAATCAGTCTTAGAGAAATCTGAATGAACTTCACTTACGCAGAACTGATTCGACAAAACTAAAATAACGCTTATCTCTCTCATCAGTTACTTTTACATAATCACCGAAGCACACAATATCAGTTCTATCAGACCGTGATAAACGTATAAGCAAGGTTCACAGTATAACGTCCGTTGTAGTTTATCATCTTTTACCGTCATCATCTTTTAATCATCATTACCGTTGTCGTAACGTTGTGAAAACTCAATTCTAGAAGTCCAAAGCAAATCCTCCAGCTGATAAAACATATGGGGAGCGAAGGTCAAGGTCTGAGGTTCATAGTCCACCGCTCCCCTTAAAGATAAAACACTCGCCACTGTCAGGGACTGAAAACTCACAAATTATTAACAAGGGTTTGACGCATGGCTATCATAAACAACCGTTTTAAAGCTCCATTTCTGCACACAGCAGTAACCCGATTGTGAAACTCTGTATTATGGTTGAATTAAATCTCATTCCTGGACATGATATAGAGCCGTAACATTACCCAAGTACTCCAACAGCTCATTGACGTGCTTCTGAATCGTGAACTTCTAGGATAATAATTAGAAATGACTGTGGATTTCCGCTTCTCTGTGAAGTTGGTGGACATCAACAAAAGCTGGTAAATGGCCTTGGGAGAGCACTATCCCTTTAAGCCATTAACATTCTCTATAAAACTTCTCTAGTAAAAAATGACAGCTGCAGCCCGCTCACAAAAGGGGGCAAAAAGCATCCGGCGAGAAACCTAAAACTGCCCTGCAATAAAAAAAAAAAACTTGTATAGGTTTGAGAGGTAAACAGCCCACCCAGCCCCCCAATCGAAGCTCTCTAAACGTCCCAGAACCACCTTTGTTCCTGAATTACGGCTGACAGAGGAATACACCCCCCTCAACTATGAATGTCACTTTCTCATCAAGACCATGAACTTCACTGAAATGGGCGGAGAAAAAAAAACACACCCCCTGTCACTCAAAAGCACCTCCTCCCAACCCTAAAAAAAAAAGACGTTTGGGCAAAACTAAATGTGGTTTACTTTTATAGAACAAACTGTCCTTAAAAATCAAGGACAAAACCATCTACATCCCGTGGATCCGCTCACTTAATGATCTACAGATAAACAGAGAGTGATTTCAGAATACTTCCATAACTTGTGTTTTTATGATGATGCACAAGCTTTTAGTCCCTAGTATGTTCTTCTGTGATTTCCATAAAAGGGTTCATTAAATCTTTGTGGGCAAAAACAGACAAATATGAGGTATTTAGCACCTGTGCCTAGGGCTGGAAAAAAAGTTAATAAACCCAACCTGTTCTGCATGCTGCACAAAGAACAAAAACATCAAGAGTACATCTAGCGCTGTAATTTGAAACTCTGCTCAATTACCTCCACAAAAGCATTTGTAAATGTAAGTAATCATTCATGTTTAAATGATTATGTGTCTGAATTTAGCAGGCCAGAGCAGTGCGTCTGCTCCATGACACTCAACACATACAGCAGACAGCAGGAAATAGCACTCCGCTTGCAAGCCACATGCTTCATGTGTTGGAAATCTTGAGTTAATTATTTTTTTTGTCTTCTATGATAAGCTCTGACTAAATATGCTTATTAAAATAGAAAATTATATACAAAATAAATACATTTTTAAAAAATATTCAGTTTAAAAAAAAATATATATATTTAGGGTTAAATGTTATTTGAAAAAAATGTTTTATAAATGACATAAATATATATATATATTTAAATATTTAGATGTTTTTATTTATTTATTTTTTATTTTTTTATTTTTTTTTATAATTATTCGGGGTTTGAAGTTTTCTAAAATATTCTTTATTGTTAAAAAAAAAGGTTCATACATTTTATTAATTTTATTATGGTTAATAAAATTAAAATATTTTCACCAAATCTTTTTGAAGACAAGGACTTACAACAATTACCAAGTTATCTTAAAAAGTGCAGATTATATGAAGGATAAAGTACATAGCGCCAAGAACTATTTACTAACAAACCCTTGTCTGTTACTATTAAAATACATGCCTATAAAAAATATAATGGTTACACTTTATTTTAAGGTGTCCTCGTTACAGTGTAATTATATATGGTTAGGGTTAGAATTAGGGTTGGCTTAGGGTTTCTTGCATGTAATTTTGCATAATTTATTGTTATGTATAATATATAAAATAAAGTGTTACCAATATAATAATTACAAATCCACATATCAATTCTGCCTTGGATTTCCCAGCATAAAAAGCCACATGCAAAGCCCAAACAAACACACCTTCACAAATAGTCTATTATGTCGCTTAGCTCTGTGTTTTTTCTAGTACTGTTCTAGGAATATTGGGGGGTTTCTGGAAACCCGGCATTCCTGCTGTCTCTCATCTCAGTGAACCAGTGGGGTGATGATGTATGTCAAGGTGTAACACGACTCCCGCATGAAAGAGCTACAGACACAATAACAGTCCTGCCTATATTCCAGAGTGAAAGCGCAGAGCATGCTGGTTATTCTTACAGTATGCAGGCCTCTGTGTATGAACTAAATCATGTGTGACTGCTCAACTTATCTTCATGCATGTCAAGAAAGCTCATATGCATAAGAGAGTAATGTGCATGATTTATTGAAGAACATGTTCATTTACCAAACCACATTCTTGCATGAGTAATAGCCGTGTTTGAGACATATAAGACAAATCCAGGTTATTAATTATTTTGAGAAGTTATACATCACTTTATCTAAATCTCCTGTCTATTAGTCTATTTTTGGCATCGCTCAGATATCACATTATCTCTACAGCCGCAAATTGCACAATGATTTCATAATCACACACTGACCGTTGGAATTTAAATAGCTCTGATCTTTTAAAAAAAAAATCATTAAAATCATATAAATACCGCCTTAAATATGTTTTACAAACAAAAGAAACAAAAGACATTATTTCTTACATAAAACACAAAATATTTTTTGTACAATAACCGGACACTTGTTTCAAGTGAATGAGGACTGTGGCTGTCAAGCTCCAAAATGACAAAAAAATTAAAAAAAAAACACAAAAGTATCATAAAAGTGAACACTGTTCCGGGTTTTCTAAAGCCACGCAATAACTTTGTGTCATTCAGACCGGATTTATGTTGTTACTGAATTAAAATGTTGACATCTGTCCGATCTCTTTGCAGTTTTCATGAATATATTTAAATATTTAGATGTTTTTATTTTTTTTATTATTATTCAGGGTTAAATGTAATTAAATAATACTACAATAATATTTTAAAAAATGGCTAAATGTTTTAGTAATTATATAAAAAAAATATTAGCTCCAAAATGACAAAAAAATTAAAAAAAAAACACAAAAGTATCATAAAAGTGAACACTGTTCCGGGTTTTCTAAAGCCACGCAATAACTTTGTGTCATTCAGACCGGATTTATGTTGTTACTGAATTAAAATGTTGACATCTGTCCGATCTCTTTGCAGTTTTCATGAGAGTTTGTGAGAAAAGCAGCAATGTCTGATTAGTGAATTAATTGTTGTTTTGCGTCTGGTCTTTTCAAAGAATCAGCTGCTCGAGTTCACAAAACCAACGATTCAATGATCAAGTCGCAACAGTGAACATCTTAATAGAGGGGAAGTTTATCACTGAACAACAACTTCTGTAATATTTTTGGTCTGTTCAGCTGAGTTTAGAAGACTTGGAAAACAGTATATGATTAATTTAAACTTTGGTTTATGGTGCTTTTCTGTCCTTAATTAATCCAGTCAGTCTCCGATGCCATTCACTTACATTGAAAAGAACAGCCAGAATATTCTTCACAAATTTAGCTTTCGTGTTACACAGACAGAAAGTCATACAGGCTTGGAGTAGGATGAGTAAATAAAAACTAGTTTCATTTTTGGTGAACTATTCCTTTAATATGATGGACAAACATCATATGGAAACCACACCTACATTTCGCCTCAGCCGTCGATTAAAGAAAAAAGGACATTTTTGAAACACCCGCAGCGTTTGTTCCTCGGATACAAAGTCACTTTATTATTCAACCTAGTCACTATAAATAGATTTAAAATGGAATCTTATTGCTCTGCAATGGTTTGTCACTTTCCTCAGTGAACTACTCCACTACACAGAAAACGCCAAAGTTTGCCCAAGTTCACTTATCAACTCAACTGCTATCTCAAACACAAACGGTGCTCGCGGTGTTATTTGAGACCAAAGTGCAAGGAAAAATGATCAAATGTGTCATTTCTGCATGTAAAGATTAAATTACACATGAGAAACTAAAATATTAGCTGTAGTTAATAACGTTTTTTTTCTTCCAATGACATGATTAAGCAGTTTACGATTTAATGAAGTCTTACAGACTGACATCCGACGCATTTCATTTTTCGCTAAATTTTAGGCTGTTGCGCGATGTTGCTTTGCGTTTACAAATACGAAAAATCATCCTCACACATCCACTCGTCTGCATTTCTCTGTACTCCAGCCAGGAAAGTGACAGAAATGATCCAGTACCTGCACGTATACTACAGCACGAGCTTCAACTCTGCTACACAGCAGTCAAAGCGCTATCAATATGTCAAATGCTATAACACCTTTATCAAGAATAAAACATCTTATGAGTAACCGCGAGACTAAATAAGGTGTCACTGTCCGAGCGCGTGCCACCGCTTTTGCACGCCCAACTTTTGTGTTTACCTTTAGTTTGATTTAAAAACAAATGTCCCGATCCACACCGTGCACTTGACTGCTGTACATTATTGATTTTGATTGCATTAGTTTCCATTCGCCACGAACGTAATCCTCCAATACAGCCAGAGTCGATAATGAGCGATTTAAAGCAGTTTTCTTTTTTAGCGTTCATGTTTTTTTTTTCTCATGCTGCGCTAAAAAGTGAACCATAAAACTCTATCTTGCATACCAAAGAAACTCGAGTGGAAAAATAAACATCTTTTAGCAGTCTGAGGGTAAACTTACCCAATGACAAGAAAGGTTTGGTTTCCATGTCTGATGGGTTAACTCATACCAGCTGACGCGCGCGCGTTGTAAGCTGTCGGCGTCCCTCTCTGGTGACAGTACAAGACGGATCCACGCGGTAAAAGTAAAAAGCTTTGCGATAGTGTCAAATATTCACTTTATGGCACTAATTCTGTTTGTTCACGCTTCTGCTCGGCTCTGTCTACAACTCTCCAGTTCACACTACTGCAAAGGGACCCAGTAAAGGGGACTCCCACTGACGCTCACGCGGGCACATTTAACAGCGACGCGTGAGGGGAACGTTAACCCCTCCTGCACCGCTCTGCCCACGGACATAGAGAGTTCGGAAGAAAAAGAAACAGCGTTTGCTTGAATAAAGAGCATTGCCTGCACATGTGGTAAAACAAAGAGCCTCTAAAGTGAGAACATGTTGCCATTAATTAATTACCAACCTGTCATTAAAAGTGACTAACACTAAGAAATTATAAGAAATTAAAGAAATATGAAGAAAAGATAGATAGACAGATAGATAGATAGATAGATAGATAGATAGATAGATAGAATATAAAACCTATTATCAATTACTTTTTTTTTTTTAAACAACTTTTTAGGTGATTTTATTTCACATTTATGACTTAATGTAGGCTATGTTGATAATTTATGACAATAAATGTTTTCTATCAGTGATAATCCTTCAGCTGCATTATTTACATTTGTCCCATGGCTATTATTTAAATATTTGCTCTTTAAAGGGTTAGTTCACCCAAAAATGAAAATCCGCTGGACGTAAACAACATATGCTGTTCTGTGTCGGCTGCGTCACACGGATACGCTGTTTTCGTTCAGATCAAATCACAACAACAACAGATCCGGCGTGACGCAGCTGACACAGAACAGCATACGTTGTTTACGTCCAGCGGATATTCTCCAAAATGGCGCTACAGGGTGACGCGGAGGAGACGAATTGTTGAATAAAGTCGTTTTTTTTTCTTTTGCGCACAAAAAGTATTCTCGTAGCTTCATATAATTGCGGTTGAACCACTGATGTCACATGGATTATTTTACCGATCTCCTTGCTACGTTTCTGGACTTGGGAACATTTCAGTTGCGTTGCTGTCTATGCAGGGTCAGACAGCTCTCAGATTCCATCAAAAATATCTTAATTTGTGTTCTGAAGATGAACGAAGGTCTTACAGGTTTGGAACGACATGAGGGTGAGTAATTAACGACAGAATTTTCATTTTTGGGTGAACTAACCCTTTAATCTGTAGTCTTGGATTATTTTAGCTGTCCACACTAGGAGATACATTAGAAGCTCTGTGATAATATGTAAATAGGTTATGGATATCATACAAAATGATCAGTTTTTTTTTACCTGATCAAAGCATGTCGTGCTGCCCTTGTTTTCTTGAGGATGAAGGAATTGATAAAACAATGTTGTACAAATTCTGCTCTGTTTGCATGCATTTCAGGTACACTTTGTGCACAACCTCACCATGCCGTTCAAATCCATGCAATATCTAATGCCAATAACTAAAAAACCGAATCAATGTGTCTGTTCCAGACGAATCAGACTGCTGCTGGGGAACAGGCATTGCAGCCAGTTTTCTACAACAGCATGCGCCACTACAGGATCCATATTAGCCCAGAGAGAACTAGGTCATTTCTCCAATATTACACCCTGGTCAATTGGATATCATCGCGCAGCTTTATCGTTACTTCACACGGCTTTCTGAGCTTGCCAGAGATGTGTCCACTGAGTTGTGAATAGCGCGCACATGGAAGAGGCTTTTGGTGATGTATATGAGAATTTCAAGCAGCGCGAGTAACCATGGGCTAAGAAGAAATATTGGAGGCCATCCAGAAGCAGAATACTTTGGAGGCACGACAGAAGTTTTTTTGCAAAGCTCTCTTATTTTGTTCATGCAGATAAATGTATATATACATGCAGTCCCGGAGCCATCCTGGGGGCCTACGAAAACACTGCATCGCTCGCTGAGCGTTTGAAGGTGTTCGCCGCAGTTCAGCTGGGGGAATGATTCATAATTAATGCAGCACACTGCGCATTAGAGATCAAAGCCGTTTGTCTATGCTGTGCAATAAACCTAAAGCAGCCGTGACTGGGCTCAGATGAGTGTGCGTGGATGTGAGGGACACTGGTTTGTGTTTTCTCCCTTCACACCCTCCGGGTGTCACACAGACTAACAGTCTCACCACTGGGTAGTCCGATCAGTAATGGCAAGATCAGTCATTTTTGTTTAGAGCAGACTTTCACATTCACCATGGACTTCAAGATGACACAATCGAGATTCTCAGATTGTGACAAGTGTTTACGATCTGCACAGCACGGGACAATCTATAATAGGAAAGCGCAATGTGGTTGTAGTTATGGTCACTCTGTGTACTGTATAAATGAGGCATGTTATTGTCTATGTTGATGTATATTATGACACGAGGGCCATGGACGCTTCTGGACACCAGCTGAACCTATAAATCAATGATGGTGGTGAGGAGACAAGCCACGAGCCATGGCACACACATATACAGATGCGAATGTGAATTCATATGTGGTCTACATGCAATTGTTTAAGTTAATCTGAAGCAGAACAACAGCATAAATGATATTTATTATCTGAACCACGACTCGCTTTTAACGTTTCCCATGGAGGCACAGCAGGAGGATGATTTTTGTGTAATACCACTTCAGAAACAGCGCAAGGAATCTCAAGCTTGACCAGTGAAAGTAATTATTATTTCACTCTTATTTTACATAGATGTAAGAACGATAATCAACAATGCCCTGGAAATATCAGCAAGAACATAGTAAGTGAATGTGAAATTGTACAATTGTGTGTGCAATCATGTCTCTGAACAAGACAAAATTGAAAGCACCTCCTGTGCATCACACAGCTCTGCTGATGACACATACAGTAGCCACAAAAATGTTTGCACACTTAAGGGGCGGTCACACTGCACTTTTCGTTCCATTGACTTCCATTCATACACATGTGAATGCGTCAGACAGGAAACGCAAGCTCATGCGAAAAATTGTTGGAACGCAACATTATTTTATATAATACATCTTTAAAAGATTATAAAAATCAAATAAAAAAAGAAGCTGCATGGTTCGCGGTGTCAATGGAAACAGGAACAGATGGTACATTTGAATGCAGACACATTTTATCATTTTTTATTGCTTAGTGTGTATATATATATATAGAGAGAGAGAGAGAGAGAGAGTACAATATAATTATTATACACAAGTGTATTATTATTATTGTCATATCCTGCTCCCGCCCATATTCGCAGCGTCCGAAAAAATTTTGCATGTTCAAAGTCTAGTGTGACCGCCCCTTTAAGCTTTGCTTTAAAATGTATGAATGTCACTGTGATAAACAAAATGTCAAAACAAGTTATATTTATTTTAAAAGAAAGAGCACATACACACTATTCAAGCAAAAGCTGACTGAGGGAAATGTTACATTTAAATATTTAAAAACTGTTTAAATATACACACACACACACACACACACACACACACACAGACAGACACACGTTGCCACTAATAAATAACCAACCTGTCATTAAAAGTGAATAAGACTAAGAAATGTGAAAATGTATGTGTAATTCCACATTTCTGAATGTACTGATTTCATATATTATATATATATATATATAGACCAGATAAGAAAAGGTCATTTGTCTGCAGATGCTACTTTCAAACATTTTAAAGTATGGATTAAGTGTCCAAAATTTTTTTGTTAGGCCGCTGTAGTTTAATATAGCCAAGTACAGTAAGAGGATTTTGTTAAAGTACCAAAATGCACAAAAATAATAATAATAATCCAGTATTAAAGAGATTTCCTAAACTGCAGTACCATCGACTTTCCCTGTACGCTCCATGAGGGCTTTTGTGATGTATGACTGACCACTGTAGAGGTCCTCTGGCCTGCTGATTATAGAGTGTAAGCACTCTGCCGTGGTTCAGATGGATGTTTAGCCTACGGCTCACACTCTGTAATCTAAGACAGACACAACACACTCTTTAAACGCCTCAATCAGCTGCTCTCTCATCTGCCCACGAGACCTGGCTATTTAATCCTTTTCTTTGGCCTTGATTAATGGCTGCTTGACCCCTGACCTTCACTCATATAAATCTCCGAAGGGTGTTTTGGGTCTCTCAGGGCTTCTCACTTCAAGACTGATTCTCTCTCACCATCTTCACATGCAAGTGTTTATAGTGGGGCATCTCTATTGGATTCTTCACGTTTGAATAATGCGTCCAGGCCTTGGGGGGACATTGGCGTGACGACCTCCGCCGAGGTAACAGTGACAGTTTCTCTTTCAGGTCTCAAACGTGGTGATAAATGGAACACGGTCCTTTCGGTCGCCATTGTGCTCCAGCGTTTACAACATGCTCATCCATAATGGCTGTTTGCACTGATGCCATTCTGCCGTTACTATGGGGACCTGGTTCTTCACAGCACGAGATTCATAAGGAAATATAAATCTTTTTCCAACCTACGTAAAAGGGACGAGATGAAGCCTGGAGATGTTGGATTATAACTGTGAATCCTTTTTTCTATCTGGAACTAAACTGATTTGCACGGATTCCAGATATCGAGAAATTCAATCCGAGGTTGATCACACAAACATACCAGCGAGGCTAACCGATGTGAGCAGACATACACAAAACCTTAGCAAAGAATGGGTCGAGGAAGAGCCTAGAGGCCTTAATAAGAAAGAAGAAGGGACTTCTCCCCTTTTCCAGCCCGAGGGATGCTCTGTGGTCAGCAGCAAAGCAGAATGGGTCAAATTCCTCACATGCAGGGGTCAGAGTGCTTTCTGAAGACACTGACTTCCTCTTCACATTGGCTTATGCCAAGGAACAGGGAACTTGTCATGCACAAGAAGTATCTGGACAGTTTAAATTCATGTATGAATGCTATTGCATTAGATATCAGAATATATATATATATATATATACATACATATATATGTTCTTTGGGGTCAGCAAGAATTTTTAAATGTTTTTGAAAGATCTCTTATGCTCAGCAAGGTTACATTTATTTGATCAATAAAACAGTTAAAACAGCAATATTGTGAAATTATAGCACAATTTAAAGTAACTGGATTCTAACATAATATATTTTAT